ACTAACAAATATAATAGCTGATTCAAAGCATTCTAAAAAATTATTCATCTGCCTCAAAAGAAATTGAAGTTTTTATATTATTTTATATTAAATTTCCATTTGAAGAGTGAATGCAAGGAATTTCTTACTATTTCTCACTCTCTCTCTCTTTTTCTCTATCTCTCTGTCTATCTCTTTCGCCTCAAATTTCTTTTTCTTCTACTGTGCTAGTCAATTCAATAATTTGTTGCACTGCTGTCGCATAGATCTAAAGTTTCAAATTCCGCCTGGCGGCAGAGCTCAGCAAAGTGCCGAGCGTCGTGTCAAGAAATAGTTGTAGGAGCACAAAAAAGTTTAACATTTTATTGATTGGCCTTAGACTTTGCACAGCAAAAGTCCTTTACCTGACAGAAGGGGAGGAATACTGAATAGGAATAGGGTGCTCTGTATACATACCGTTGCGTGGATGGACGTCCGGCTATCCAGATGGCAAACAGTGAGATCATAAAACTGGCGAAATCCGTTAGCAAGTGTGCGGCATCCGTTGCGATAGCCAAGCTGTTCGACAAAACGCCACCTGTCGGACAGAAGACAAAGTATAAGAGTGAGAGAGACAAGTGTGTGCAAAGGGGAAAGTAAATGCAACACAAATAAAAACACACACACACACACACACAGAGCTAACACGAAAAAATTAACTTGCAATCTGTGGACAAAGACAGTTGCCACGCCCCCTCTGCACTGCACTATCCCCCTGCCAGCCAGCCTGCCTTCCCTCTGGCCAGCTCCCATCAAACGGTTAGCAAAACAGCAAAAAGGAGGTGCCGCATTGAGTCCAGTCAACAATTTCGATTTAAAGGCAAAGGCAAAAGCAAAGGCAGAAGCAAACTGAATAAGGTAAGAGTTCACTCAGTGAAAAGGGGGAGTGCACAGGGGCTAGGGACTGTGGCACTGTCCCAGCGAATGTGGCCAACGGCTTCGATGGCACATTGTAGGTAATTGCAAAGCGATTAACAGCAACAGCCGACAATGCGGACGACAGCGTCGCATTGGCAGCGCTCGAAAATTAAATGTTTATTGTATAACAGCCCACTCCACACACACACACACACATAGAGTTCTCCCCATTTTAATGTGTGTGTGTGTGTGCTGGAAAGGGACGGTAGACAGTAAGCCCTTCCGGTCGCCATATTGTTGCACTTCCGGTGCTCAGTTTTTAATCGTCTCGTCGTCCCTTTTATTACTTCGTTTCATTTTGCTTCTTCGCTTTTTTTTTGCCTTTTGTTTGACTGACATTTTAGCCGAGCTTTTCTCTACTTTCAGCTCTCTGAGGTGAGCGAAATTAGTTGAGGGAATTTGATGTAAACAACGAGCAAAAAATGAAAAAGTGAAAGACGAGGGAAAATCAAAGTGAAATGCAAAAAAAGAAAAAAAATTTAAGAACAGTATAAAGGACAAAAACAGTGAAGATGTTGCAGTGGGTCAGAGCCGGTTGGCTAATGCTTGTTCAGGCTACGTTGCTGAGTTGGCATGTGGGTATTCCCTATATATATAAATATTATAATTAAATCTTTAATTTTTCAACTAACCAAAAGAAAGAGTACAACTGAATCTATGTTTCGGCTTCATAGCCAAGCCTATATACCCCTTTCATATTGTGTGCATGCAAAAAGGGTTCTCGAACAAAGATAGATTTAATACCATTTTTCACCCGCCCTACTTACCCACAATTTCGGCAATCATGAATACCAAACATAAGATGCTAGCAATGATCAGCTTACGGCGTGCTTTCAAGTCCACGCCCTCACTCCGAGCCCTGTGGCAATGATCACGAACTGCAAAGAAAACAAAAATTGAGTATATCTAATTAAAATGATTTATAATATATTAAAATATAGTATATACCAAATACAGTAGAATATAGCATATAAAGAAAACCCAAATTGAGTATATTTAATTAAAATAAAT